AAATTTTTATCTATTGATTCATGTGAAAATTATGTAGTTCCACGAGGGGTGCAACGGAATCCGTTTTCTAAGCATCTTTTGGATGCTCATCCTACGGCCTATATTAAAGAAGTATGATTGATTATATGTCTATCTTTTAATAAAGTATTATCACAGAAGCGAAGACACAGCCGCCCTTGATGATTTGCCAAATTGCACTGCCAGAAACCCATCACCTGGGTCAACAGGCCCCAAAATGCTTTTTCGCAATTATAAATGTACCTATTTCTATAGTGCGTGTGAGAAAACATATAGTTTAAAATTTATTACAGCAATTAAATTCTATACACATACTAAGCAACATATCTGAGATGCAAATATAATTCAACTAATTATAACGAGAGATATCTGGTATTTGTTATGCAAATACTTATATAGATAATAAAATACGCACATTCACGATCCATTTTGGCAAAAACAACTAATTAATGCGTTATAGGATCGTGTGCGAGTTTCCTGTTATATTATATCAACTTTTATATACGCTATATTACACATTTTCACAATATTTTCAACAAAGTGCATTTAACCAATCTTCGCCAGTGCGTGTCGAAGTTTGAAAAATGGGTTGGTAAAAAATCACGATCGGTATGATATATATAAATCGCCGTTTTTCTGCCATATCGATCGCTTTTTAGACTAGTTATATATGCTTTCATTTTTGAGAACACACGACTACACAGTCATAATAGCCTATGCTGTATAATCAGATTATTCTAATCCGTACTTAAAATTGAACGAATATTTATGTATGTTATTGAAAAGATTTGACCTCTGTAGGAAAAATATGAAGCTCTATGTCAAATCTTACTTAACTAAGATTCTTGGTGGTCACAAAATATCTCTAAATATTCATAATGAATACTTTATCTCCTTCCATATTTTAGAGCATCTGCCCAAACTTTAACAGTAGAATATAGCTAGCATGTTATCTGAATAATATTATACGCTATCTGCGCTACACTGCATGAAAAAAAGTTTTTTGTTAGTTGATATGGATCGAAGGCCTTGCGTTCTGTAATCCAAACGTCAAGATTTCCGCCCTGAAAAAGCAACTTAATACTCCATCCCGGCGCAAAGGTGCACAATTTTTTAGCCAAAACATATAGCAATTACATATACTGCCCTTATAGAAACAGCGGATCGAAACTGTCAAAAATGCGCACAATTTTTTCTGCAAAGCATATAGCAGTGCAGTCGCCCATATAGACGCGACAATCCCAAACGCACGCACAGGGGAGTTTATACTCACCATTATAACAAAAAATCAATCCACATCATCTTCGAGACATCTAATTGTGACACAATTTGTGCCCCCTGCCTACGATTACCCGGCAAGCAAGACTTCTCCAGAAACATTATGTGTTGATGCATAAAATGTATCTACTGACTCTCGTGTCTGGAAAAATCTTATTTGCCTGTCCTGCCTGTCTCAGCTTAGGAATTAATAAGGTTGCATCTACACACAAATTACTTAGGAATTTGCATGCAATTTTTGGTTAAGAAAAATTTCTGGTGTTTGAGTGCAGATGCACCTATTTATGTTATCTCAGTTTTGTGACCACCCAATTAAAGTACTCAAACCTCTTTGAACCTCTGGCAAACGATGTTCGATTTTACGATGTTCGACTGAGCCAAAGTGATCTTGACCAAACAGCAACTTTCTTTTGTCATATAGTCTACAAAAATTTCATATAAGCCTTAGTGCGCACTTAACAAATAAATATATATGCACACACTTAACAAATAAATATATATGCACACAAGGCAAAAAAATAAAGTTTTGATCGAGCCAACAGTAATACGAAATCTGATGATTCATGATTTCATCGATAGGGCCTGATTTCAATGCTTGACGGGAATTATTTCCAAGCGCGACTGATGCATAAAGTATTTTTAATCAAACATGCCTTATATCAAACACTACAGTCTAGAAATTAATCAATATGTGTTCATACCTTTATATGCACGTGTTAAAACACCTCGACGTATCCATAGATTTGAATATCCAGCAAATATTTGGGATAGGACTTCGCGAAATTATTGGTAAAGATCTTTACCCGCGTGCTTATGAACTTGATTGGCGCCATTTCATATTTGTTCACTTCGCCGATCCCGTGCGCCGATCTATATAGCTGGCAACAGCCTTCAAGCGCAAATGTGCAATGACCATACATGCCAAATGCATGATTACAATTTAATATCCGGAATGCAATTTCCTTATAAAGAGAACCGAAATCAAAATTAGTGAATATTTTCCTATTGTCCAAGCAGCTGTTAAATAAGAATTCTAATGTTTATTTTCTGTGAGGTCAAGCTTAAATGTTTGTAAGACCTATGATAATCGAACGAAATGGGTTTCTTTTAGATATAACTTATCGCCATTCCCAATATTGTATTAGGCTTACGCTGCGGCATGTCAGCTGCCAATTTTACCAATTGGGCTTGTGCCAGTGTGCGCAAGGATTGCACAAACTTGGTAAAAACATAGCGCTAAAACTTTACCTCGTAAAACACGCAATTTGTAGACCGTGTCTTTCATTGCTTATGCTCTAGTTTAATATCCAGAAAGCTTATATATATAGTTAAATGGTATAATATCGATTATAATTTCTGGTTTGTTATATTTGTCACATGATCCTGATTATTTTGAACAATTAGTATGGCTTGTGTTTTGTGCCTATCAAAGTTTAGCTACGCTAAATTTCAGTGAGGAATATTATGATGTTCATTGGGCGACTTCCTTGTGGTTCTATTTTTTTCATTACTTTCATACAATCTATATCATTTGTACAATTTGAGCTTTTCCGCGTTCCACGTTTCCGATTCGAGGAGCTAGTCGAGGGAAATCAAATTATAACCAAACATAAGATGCCTGATTATAAATGTGCTTCAGTGCTTGGTGCATCTGACTTTGCCGAAAGTTGCGAAGTGTTTTATTCGGATCGCCCTCGGCCGGTGAACATCGGCGTCCACGATCAAGCGCTTCAAAAGATCTATGTCTGTTGTTGATACAATTATTGCGATATAGTTTAATAGTTATTTACATTTATTTCATTGTTTACACAACTATATAAGGGTTTTAATCATTGCATACTATAGATATGCAGTTATCCGCGGTTTTGCTCCTATACTATCAGGCTGCTTCGTATCTATCCTAATGACTATTTAAACGACTTCCAACAACCACACAACAACTATGCAATTCTACGTAATGCTGCTTTTAAGGTATATATGGCTAGATCGAGACGTTGCATGTTTGTGCGCGCGTTGAACTTTGGCTTTATGGAAACAACAAGAGTATTAAAGCATAGATTCTAACCATTGCATTGCCGCGGCATTAAAAAAACAATCAATTTTTGAAAGAAAGCTTTTTCAGTTTATGACTTGAAATTTGACCTTAATGACATAATTGCATGCACTGAACGCTAAGAGAAATCTTGAAGCGCACGAAATAGCATTCGATTCGGCTAAAATGATGTAACCCCTCTACAAGCCTTCTGTTAAGGAACTGAATACGTTTCTAGGAATATTATGTGTTACACATTCGTCGCTTCTTCTATAAAGTTGTAACATTGCAAATGTTTAATCTAACGTTCTACCAAATCCAATGCGATTGAACAAAATTCCAGCAAACGTTCCAACGAACGGTAAATCAAAACGGTTGAACGCTTTTGGAACGATTTTCGAACTTTTTTTCTCGAGGCGTTCAAACGGGCAATTTCGAACAATGAACGATCTCGAAAATCGTTTCAACGAACGCAAGAACGCTTGAAGTGTTTAATTGAACGGGAAACGAATGAATAATGAACAATATTTTTCAAGGAACCAAATAGCGTTAACGTATGTTTATGTGTGGAAGGCCACACATAAACAACAAAGTAAATTGCTTCGCACGAGTGGCAAATCACAACTGTATGACTGTTACTGGTCTGCTTGCTTCTCTACCTATAATTAACTTCGTTGACTAGGTACATATGACATTGATCAAGTAGCTATTTATGTGTAGCTGTCAACGGAGCGTAATTAGCCCTAAAGCTGTTGGACTGCATGTATAATAACATATGTCTGCAGTCAGTGCAGTGGCATGACTGTGGCCATGTTCTTCAGGTATATTTTGCTATTGTTTTTACAATTTTACTCCATTTTATTATTTTAATATTATCCATGCTGTACTGGGATAACGAAGCAATAAAGAGTAGTGTACGTGCGGATAGCGATCGAAGCTCTCGCTCCCTCATAGCTGAACATAAACAACGTATATAATGTTACACCCGCTACTTGCGTTTACCTGTTAATCATTTCCCCCCTCCCGGTATATCAAACATGCCCATGCAACAGACAGTTGACATATTTTACCGTTGTTTGATTTAAACACCAGTATCATGGTCTGCGATCAAAGGATTCCCCAAATCGTCTGGTTTCGTCCGTGAAATTGGGTATATAAATTCGTCAAACCGTTTATACGGATGAATAGGCCCATCCAAAAAAACGGTTCATTTTTCTGTGCGTTTAAACGGTTATTCGTATCCGTGTAAACGCTTTCACCAAAGCGTAAAAACGCTTTCTTGAAAGCGTTAAATTTTTTCATCGAACCGTTTTAACGTTTTAACGAAGCGTGAAAACGCTTTACGGCATCCGTTTACTAACCGTTTGTAATCCGTTTTTTTGCCCATTTAAACGGAAAAGCGTTAATGTTGGTTTTCCCGTGGAGGGTCACAAATTATGCTCATTAGTTATATGAGCAACCGTATTATAGCTGTTACAATAATTATATGCTTAATTGCATGTACTCTATCACTATTTCAAAATAACTTATTTTATAGGCTACCAGCGTGCTGATTGATATGAGCTTTCCTTTTGAAAATGACATGATAACCTACCCTGGTCTGTTACCATTCCGCATGTCCAAATTTCACGCAGACCCTTACACAAAACAAGTTCCCTATTTATTATTTGATATGGACTTCAATGAACATACTGGCACACACATAGATGCGCCAGTCCACTTTGCTAAAGGAAAACTTACTGTCGATCAAATCCCACCTAAAGATTTGATAGCAAAAGCAATCGTTGTGGACATTACTGAACAAACATTAAAAGATCGTGACTATGCATTGACGATCGATGATTTTAAAAACTGGGAAGAGAAACACGGAACGATTCCTGATGGAAGCATTGTGTTCATTTTGACTGGCCTTGGAAAATACTGGGGAAACTATGAGAAATACATGGGAAAAGAGAAAAAGAGTAATGGCGAGTTTCATTGGCCAGGTGATCTATAAAACATATCTATTTCTTCACCAGCACAAAGTTTCAATCACAACTATAGAATGATCATGGTTGATCCGTATTAAAATAGTTTCAACTTTCAAGTAGTTTGGAAATGATACTAATTATGCAAGCACTTTTTCTTTGTATAGGTTTATGTTCACGTCCTTATTTTCGAATTCAGAATTCATGACTTATGCATGTATTCAAACAACTCTCTCGCGCTCATTGAGAGTGATATAGAAATTTTATCACTACTGATCAATGAGAAAGTTATTTTTGATTTAGTGAGTGGGAGGTGGGGCGCTGAAAATTAAGCTCGATCGTATAGACACTACCCGAAATTGGGTGGACACAAAACTGGCTTGGAAACGAGGCGGACAATGTAATCTATTGTTAGTGGGATGGTTTTCATTGCCCGAGAACAAGTTTGGGAAGTGTCCATTCAACTAAAGATACCGGAGAAGATTGAGATCCTCCAACTCAATGAGAGTGAGCTTTTAGAATACAGGCGTTACTGCAGTGTGTATGAAGGTTGCAAGTACAATACATATACAAAGGAAGTCTCTTCATAATGTCTGTTAAAACACAACATTATACGAAGATTATTAATATCGCGAACCCAAGATAAAGGTTAAATTACGACAGAAAAATATTTCGTAATTTTTCAATTTCATCCTAAATTCTTCGATCGCGCTATATAGAGTTACAGTATATTCAAAGTTTTATACCCAGATTGTACACTTTTTTAGGCTTTGCAAATGCCACAGCTCAATGGTTAGTTGACAAGCGGAAAATAAAAGGAGTTGGTACTGATGCTCGTTCTTATGACGTGGGGCCATCTGAAACCTTTCCAGCACATCAAATCTTTCTCGGAAACAATATCTATTGTCTTGAAACTGTTGCCAATATTGAGAAACTTCCAGTGAAAGGTGCCGTTGTCTACGTAATGCCGATGAAAATCAAGGGCGGAACTGGAGGACCAACTCGTGTTATTGCTAAAACCAAGCCCGCAGGACGAGGTTCTCATCTGACGAGCAGCATCTTGGTTATTTTCTTGTCCATTCTTTTAACGTTGCTTAACCACAAGTAAAAGTAATGATGTTGGTATTATTCTCACAAGGTCATTCAATTGCATACAATACGATCCAAAAGTTGAACAATGCTTAATTCTTTACTGTGATATCTAAAATTAAAATATATTTTCATAATACGATACTGAATAACATAATAAGCATGAAATGAAAATAAAATGATTATGAAAATAAAATGATTGTGTGTAATTTATGTCTATATATACTTTTTATATATTTATATAATATATTTATATATTATATAATATATATCCGAGGTAAAATAGTTCGTTTCTGCAGTATTTTATTTAAGGTATTAAAAATTTCTCCGGCAGGATTTCCCAACAATTAATTGGCAATCCATTCCGATGCCCCGAACAATTTCATTTTTCTAGCTAAAAAATAATCGCCTCCCAATGGACCATGCATTCATTGGAAGGCATACACAACAGTCATGCTCGTATTCAAGAATTGCGTTTGATTTGCAGCGATACATATAGAAATGTACTATAACCACATAATTTATATTCAAGCACTGAGCGCTATTACAACAAGCTTAAAAGTCCATTTTTCACTGCTCTTTGTGAAGTACTTAACCTTCTTGAAAAGTGTCTTGTTTTTTGGAGGTCAAGTGTACAAATATTATAAAACCTCATTTTGATTTTTGACAATTGCATGGCTCCATGCATCAGATGATGCATATGACGCAGAGGCAACAATTGTATATCGTCACGATAAACAAAATGAGTTGTCCATATTTGAACACCTGCCTCACCATACTATCATATACGAAAAAACTATACATTTTATTTGCTTTTTTTATGTTTTGCTATAATTAGATATAAGTGAACTAGGGAAGTATTAACTCAAGGCGTATTTCACTTAAACCGTGAAAGTCTATAACTGCAAGAAACGTAATGCAGCAGAAAAAACGGGTGATTTTTAGTACTTCACCTTTACGACTGTGTTTGTTTCCGAAAAATGTGAAACATCAGCTATCACTGCTTAAGTCATTTTATAATAAATAATAAGCTTGGAGGATTAGGTCTGGCTAGCTCAGGAAATACTTTGCTTCATTTGAAATGGTGAGGGGTTGCTGCATTCATATATTTCTAGTATGCTGGTAATCCTCGGGCCAGCGCGGAGTCCTGTGCGAGGGTTTCAATTTCGCTCGAAGATTAAAACTATGCACCCGGGTATTGTGACAATTGAACAATGACGGAATCCGCGTTTTTCAAATTCTATGTCATGCACGTTACATGTTCAACGATCATGACTCATCGCACTTGTAGGCCTGCGCGAGATTTGCAGGACCTTGTCATAAGCACCTTTTACTTGCAACGACCAGTAACGACAAGTTTGTAATTTTCTATTTTTCAATGAGAATGTCAACGATTTCACCGTCATTTCGCGAACCTTTTTTGTAGAAATATTTTATTAACTTTATACCAAATTAAAGATGACTATGAAGGAAACATGGATATAGTTTAGGACTCAGCAGTGAAAAAAGGAGGATTTGTAATCCGAATAAGTTTTTAAAACAGTATAGGTGTCCATTTAGTTTATTCTGTGTTTACTTATATAAGATAAAGGACTGCAATGTATACACGTAGTGGATTTTGTAACATATAAATTATTTAATATAGCCCACTGACAGCAACACCAGACTTTGAACTTGTTGTGTTCATAAGTTAATTGCAAACTAGTCTTTAGACTTATTTATGTATAGGGCTAAATATTGCTTAATGACGACGAGAAGTCTGTTCTGTGCATATTTTCTGCTCGAAATATATAAGCCTAACATTATAAACAACAGTCGGACCTTCTCCGTTTGAATTTTAATTGCATTTACAAAATAATAAAACAAGACAAAGCTTTGTCGTAATGCTTCATGTCGTGATGCAAGGAATTTTGCTTAAGCTCGCCCCACACTGTATGAAGCTATCAGCTGAGCTGACGTTTTGAGTGCCACAGCGCACCAGAGGCACTTGTGCACGTCAACCGCCACGAGAGACGCTTAGCTCAGCTAATAGCTCTAGTATGCAGCGGGCTTTAGGGGCAGTTCACATTAGCCGGGTTTTACCCTACCTTGGAAACCGAGCTTTTCCATTTTGCGACGTTGCCAGGTTACGGATATTTAGCGAAGCGCAAACAGAGGCGTACGGGAGACGATAATTGAGGAGGGGGGCACATATTCGTATATTCATGTTGTGCAAGATTAATTTCTTTTCAAATCTATTGTCATCACAGGTCTTTTAACATGAATATATGAATATGTGCCCGCCAATTATCGTCTCCCATACACTAGTGAGCGCAAAATGGACTTTGAGGTATTGAAATGAGTAAATAACATGATTCTGGCAGTCGTGTTATCATCCTAACAATATCATGTGATTGTTTTGTTGTATAGATAAGCTCCATTATAACCAAGGAGCAGCGTGGCAGCGTCTTCAAACAACTTAGCATCAAATGTGGTATAACAACTGACAAAATAGACAAAACACTTCTCGACGTTTCGACCTGAGGGCCTTCGTCAGAAGAGTTAGTTTTGTTTTATGTTAAATCTCGATAGCCGGGCTCATGTGAACAGCCTATTAGCATGGAGGCTTTTTTAATTGGGAATATTTTTAAATTTATTTAAATCACTATGCCTCTGCATGGGTTTACTTTCATTAGCACAAACAAAGACCACTTATTATTACAGACGTTGCTCAACGTGGCAACTTTCGAAACCGCTTTGAATAAAAAAATAACGTGTCAACCAATCTTATTTTTCTGTTGTGAAGAACTTGCAAGGGTCACATATTCAATTAGTGGGCAAGATCATCGAAATGTAAGTACAAATGCACAATTCGCTCTTTTGTCTTTATACATTTGTTAATCAGTTAGTCTTTATGGCATACATCTTTTGTAAAATATCAAGTATCAAATGTCACCAAAAGTGTTTCTTCAACTGTGTGATATTACTTCTTATTCAATGTAGCTTCATGGCAGTTGTACTGCATGATTTCGGAAACGGCATTTTATCAATGGCAATAAGTCCATATTACTTCAATATCTGCCTGACTGAATATACTCAAGGGCCTTACCTAGAAATGGTTTTTTAAAACATTTGTCTCTTTGAATAAATGTTTAAAAAGGAAGCATCGTTCTGTACGCAAGACGCTCTATTTCTGAATATCTTGAAAACGAAAATTAAGCGCGTACGCATCAAATGACATACATATAGAGAGACCTGACAAAGTTTATTAAGGGACTGCTTATTCATGCCTGGTTACCCGAGATTTAATGAAGCGTAACTTGATTTTGAGGTATTGAAATAAGTCGTTCTGAAGCAAACCAGCTCATGCTATCGTTAGGATTAGTTAGGATTAGTTAGGACACGACTACCAAAATCATCTTATTTACTCATTTCAATACATCAAAGCTAGGCATTTAATGCTTCGTTAAATCTCGCGGGTAACCGGGTTCATGTGAATAGCCCCTAAAGTGAACTGGGGGGAGAGGTTTGGAGGGGGGGTGGCAAATATTATACACCTATTCTAAAATACATTGTGCACATAAACTGAAACGCAGTTATGCAACGTTGTAATTATATATTAAATTGTTCGTTTGTTAGAACAAGCGAAAGGAAAAGTTGTAATATTATTTCTTATAAGTCAGTTTACGCTATATATTTATAACATTCTGTTCAAATGCCCCACTTATTTGCATGCATGGATTCCGGCTTCCATTTCCAAAGACAAGACTCACAGAGATTATGACGCTGGTTTATGAACTCCCAGTATCCAAAAATATATTCCTAAAAATGCTAATTAAATAAAGTTTATTTGAAATTAGCCACAATACTTCCAAACAGGGCGACTATCATTGTTGATAGTCTATTAACAGTTGTGTGCTTAAGAAAGTGACGTAATGACGAGTGAGTAACGTCAAAAAGACTGGGTCAAAGATTTTGATCAGTGGAAAACAAAAAAAAAATTACTTCCGTTCAACGTATGTGTTGTCAAAAACGCCACTTGCTTTAAGCTCACTAATGTTTTACAGTATCTGTCTCTGCCATTTTCACTGAAATGAATGCAAAAGTAGTTTAGATTCAAGTGTGTTTACCTTCAGAAATCTCTTCATTGTAGCATTGGTAATTTTTTCGGATTATATAGTTAATTCTTTTCAGATGGTTTTGTGGTTTCGAAAACGTCCTTAATGTTTAGATTTTATTACTTTTGCATGATATAACTTCGATTTAAGGCACGTATTACTGTAAATAGCGCAAAAATATCTCCTCTCAATAAAATATGCGGAAAATTATCTGGCCGTGTTTCTCATCCCCTTCCTTCCACAGCATATTTTGGTGAGTTAAAAACATCAATAACTTCGAAAAAATCAGCAGCAAAAGATTCGGATTCCATGGCAAAAAAAATGTTGTCGCAAGTGGGGGCTTTGCGAACATTTAATCAAGTTTCGGGCTATGCCTCTCTGCGTAGCGTTAGTATAACAGTTTGAACAGCTCATCATGAGCTAATCAACATGTACCTATCGTTTTTTCGTGCTAACTTTCTCTTCCTGAATATTTTGTAGGATAACCAAAACAATAATAATTTCTTTCCTCCTGGTCATTGTTTGTGTCACATCAGGTCATGGAAAATCATTGCAAAAAGGTGGAAAACGTCATTTCATGCTGCCGCCTCAAATCCCTTCTGGAAAACGTTCCTTAATGGACACGGATCCCCCTCGTGGTGGTGAGGGGTTAGGAAAACGTCGTTTTAGGGTACCGCCTCCAATCCCTCCTGGAAAACGTAGCTCAGTGCTGTATCCACCTCCAGGAAAACGTAGCCCAGTGGTGTATCCACCCGGTACTGGAAAACGTAGCCCAGTGGTGTATCCACCTCCTGGAAAACGTAGCTCAGTGGTGTATTCACCTCCTGGAAAACGTAGCTCAGTGGTGCATCCACCTGCTAGAAAACGTAGCTCAGTGCAGAGAAAGAGGCCACCTATGGGAAAACGTAGCTCAGAGTAGGGGCAACCAGCGGGAAAACGTATAGCTCAGTTTATTGATATAAATTTTACCGTTTTTTGCACTGATTTATACAAACATCGTAATTATTAATGACTATAAATACTAGAATAATTTATCTTTTAGCACCACGTCTTGCACTATTGAACTGTTATATAACGACAAGAGACGCGCATGTTATCATGAAATTGTGTTTAGTTTGTAATGTTGAACGAAAAAAAAAAACATTTGCATAATCATCATCAAACACGGGGCACTGTTATTATGTCCATTGCTGATCATTGTGAGTGGAGACGGTAGCTGACGTTTCAACCGTTTTTGGCGATGCGATGAAGTTACATTAATCCAACCTCTCCACTGTTTTATCTGAACTGTTTTACCTTGAACTATGATAATTTTATTTCATTAGCCTCCATTGCGCGAGATTCAACCAGCCAGGCTTGAATTGTTGTTGAATTCAATAGTTATATGCTGTTACTTTTTATGTGTAACCAGGACCCGAAAGATATATTCCTGCAGTATTTTATTCCAACAACTTTTAAGATATTTTCCTCAAGTTATAACCGACTTAAAAGTGCAGAAGTTGAAATAATTTCGACGCTTGCCGAATATGTGATTTGTAATGGATGTTCACATGAGCCGGGTTACCCGACGTCGGAAGCCAAGCTTTTCCACCTTGCGAGGTTGCCCGGTAACCGATATTTAACGAAGCGCAAAATGGACTTTTGAGGTATTGAAATGAGCAAATGACACGATTATGGTGGTCGTGTTATCATCCTAACAATAACATGTGATTGTTTTGTTTCGAAAAGACATTTTTCAATACTTCAAAGTCGCCGTAAAATACGCTTCGTTAAATCTCGCAGGTAACCGGGCTGATGTGAACAGCCTATTAGCCTGCAGGCTGTTTTTAATTGCGAATATTTTAAATTTATTTAAATGCGCTATGCCTCTGCATGGGTTTACTTTACTTTCCATTAGCACAAACAAAGACCGCTTATTATTACAGACGTCGCTCAACGTGGCAACTTTGGAATCCGCTTGGAATTAAAAAAAAAACGTGTAAACGAATCTTATTTTTCTGTTGTGAAGAATTTGGAAGGGTCACAAATTCAGTAAGTAAGCAAGATCATCGAAATGTAAGTGAAAATGCACAATTCGCTCTTTTGTCTTTAAACATTTGTTAATCAGTACACCTTTTGTAAACTATCAAATAATGTCAAATATCACCGAAAGTGTTTTTTCATCTCTCTGATATTATTCTTATTCAATGTAGCTTTATAGCAGTTGTACTGCAGGATTTGCAAGAGGCATTTTATCAATGGCAATAAGTCAATATTACTTCAATATAATTATACTTTTATATAATTTATATTAATTATACTTTTATATAATTTATATTAATTATACTTTTATATATTTTCAACATCTGCCTGACTGAGTGTATTCAAGGGCTTTACCTAACAATAGTTTTTTAAAACATTTGTCTCTTTGAATAAGTGTTTATAAAGGAAGCAACGTCCTGTAGGCAAGATCCTATCTTTCTGGATATTTCGAGAACGAAAATTGAGCGCACTAAATGACATACGTGTAGAAAGACTTTACAAAGTTTACTAAGGGGCTGTTCATTCATGCCTGATTACCCGAGATTTAACGAAGCTTAACATGATTTTGAGGTACTGAAATAAGTCGTTCTGAAACGAATCGGGGGGGGGGGCTTTGAGTGTGGCAAATATCATACACCTATTCTAAAATACATTGTGGAAATAAAATGAAACGCTTTTATGCAGCGTTGTATTTCTTATAATTATATATTAAATTGTTCGTTTGTTAGAACTCGCGTATGAAGCATTATAATATTATTTCTTATAAGTCAGTTTAACGCTATATATTTATAACATTCTGTTCAAATGCCGCACATATTTACATGCAAGGATTCGGCCTCCCATTTCCAAGGACAGGACTCACAGAGATTATAACGCTGGTTTATGGACTCCGAGTATCCAAAAATATATTCCTAAAAATGCAAATTAAATAAAGTTTATTTGCCTGAAATCAGCCGCAATACTTTTCAAATTGGGTTATGATTGTTGAGCTTAATTATCATGAAGTAAAACTTGGGATTTATTTTTTAACAAAATTTTACCATGAGCCTATGCGATTAGGCGACTATCATTGTTGATAGTCTATCAACAATAGTGAGCTTAAGAAAGGGACGTAATGACGAGTGAGTAACGTCGAAAAGACTGGGTCAAGGATTTTGATTGGTGGAAAACAAAAAAAACTTTTCTTCCGTTCAACGTATGTGTTGTCAAAAACGCCACTTACTTTAAGCTCAGTAATGTTTTACAGTAACTGTCTCTGCCATTTTCACTGAAATGAATGCAAAAGTAGTTTCAATTCAAGTGTGTTTACCTTCACAAATCTCTTCATTTTAACATTGTTAATTTTTTAGATTATACTACAATGAACATATCTTCTTTTCAGAAGGTTTTGTGGTTTTGAAAACGTTCTTTAGTGTTCAAATTTTCTTACTTTTGCATGAAATAACTAAGATTTTGAGCAGGTATTACGCTAAATAGCGCAAAAATATCTCCTCAATAAAATATGGGGAAAATTATCCGGCCGTGTTTCTCATCACCGTTTTTCCACAGCATATTTCAGTGCGTTAAAAACATCAATAACTTCGAAAAAAGTCACTAATAAAAGATGCCTTGGTAAAAATTGTTGTTGTAAGTGGGGGCTTTGCGAACATTTAATCAAATTTCGTGCTTTGACTCTCTGCGTATCGTTAGTGTAACAGTTTAAAAAGCTCATCATGAGCTCATCAACATGTACCCATCATTTTTCAAGCTAGGTTTCTCTTCCTGGACATTTTGTAGGATAACCAAAACAATCATAATTTCTCTCCTCCTAGTCATTATTTGTGTCATATCAGCTCATGGAAAATCATTGCAAAAAGGTGGAAAACGTCATTTCATGCTACCGCCTCCAATCCCTTCTGGAAAACGTTCTTTAATGGACACGGATCCCCCTCGCGGTGGTGATGGGTTGGGAAAACGTCGTTTTAGGGTGCCGCCTCCAATCCCTCCTGGAAAACGTAGCTCAGTGCAGAGGCCACCAGCTGGAAAACGTAGCTCAGTGCAGAGGACGATGCCACCTGCTGGTCGTTCTGGAAAACGTAGCTCAGTGCAGAAGCCACCTGCTGGAAAACGTAGCTCACTGCAGAGGATGCCATCTGCTGGAAAACGTAGCTCAGTGCAAAGGATGATGCCACCTACTGGAAAACGTAGCTCAGTGCAAAAGCCACCTGCTGGAAAACGTAGCTCAGTGCAGAGGATTATACCGCCTGCTGGAAAACGTAGATCGGTGCAGAAGCCACCTGCTGGAAAACGTAGCTCAGTGCAGAGGCCACCTGCTAGAAAACGTAGCTCAGTGTAGGGGCCAACTGTTGGAAAACGTAGCTCAGTTTAATGATATAAATTCTACCGCTTTTTATACTGATTTATAGAAACATCGTAATTATTAATGACTATAAATACGACAATAATTAATCTTCTAGCACCACGTCTTGCACTATTGAACTGTTATATAACGACAAGAGACGCATGTTATCATGAAATTGTGTTTACTTTGTAACGTTGAACGCAAAATAACAACATTTGCATAATCATCATCAAACACGGAGCACTGTTATTATGTCCATTACTGATCATTGTGAGTGGAGACGGTAGCTGACGTTTCAACCGTTTTTGGCGATGCGATCAAGTTACATTAATCTAAACTCTCTACTGTTTTATATGAACTGTTTTACCTTGAACTATAATCATTTTATTTCATTAGCCTCCATTGGGCGAGATTCAACCAGCCAGGCTTCAATTGTTGTTAAATTCAATAGTTATACTTTTTATGTGTAACCAGGACCCCAAAGATATATTTCTGCAGTATTTTATTTTAACAACTTTTGTAAGGGATGTTCACATGAGCCGGGTTACCCGACCTCAGAAGCCAGGCTTTTTCACCTTGCTAGGTTGCCCGGTTACCGAGATTTAACGAAGCGCAAAATGACTTTGAGGTATTGAAATGAGCAAATAACACGATTCTGGTGGTCGTGTTATCATCCTAACAATAGCATGTGATTGTTTTGTTTCAAAAAGACATTTTTCAATACTTCAAAGTCGCCGTAAAATATGCTTCGTTAAATCTCGTTAACCGGGCTCATGTGAACAGCCTATTCGGCTGCAGGCTGTTTTTAATTGCGAGTATTTTAAATTTATTTAAAAAACGAGTCGCGTGCCTTTATGGTGTAATAATGCACGATGGGGGAATGTTGGGAGAATACGAGAGAAGCTTGTAAAACACGAGGCGTAGCCGAGTGTTTTACAAGCTTCTCGAGTATTCTTCCAAAATTTCCCCGAGTGCATTATTACACCAAAAAGGCACGCGACGAGCTTTTTTAATTCTTTTATAATATAAGAAGAAATTATAGGGCAACAACAAAATTTATTTATTTGATCAATAATGAAATTCTCCTTACATATTATTTAAGATGTTGCTTAGCAACAAAAACTTCAAAAGCCAGAAGCGTGCATTATGGTCTCATAATGCACGCGCGGTAGCCAATCAAATTGCTCGTTATATCATACTTATATTATAATCCTTAATTAAATGCGCTATGCCTCTGCATGGGTTTACTTTCATTAGCACAAACAAAGATCGCTTATTATTACAGACGTTGATCAACGTGGCAACTTTCGAAACCGCTTGGAATAAAAAAATAACGTGTAAACCAATTTTGTTTTTCTGTTGTGAAGAATTTGCAAGGGTCAAATTCAATAAGTGAGAAAGATCATCGAAATGTAAGTACAAATGAACAATTCGCTCTTTTGTCTTTATACATTTGTTAATCAGTTAGTCTTAATGGCATACACCTTTTGTAAACTATAATATCAAGTGTCAAATGTTACCAAAAGTGTTTCTTCAACTGTCTGATATCACTTCTTATTCAATTAGCTTTATGCATGCATGGCAGTTGTACTGTAGGGTTTCGCTGGGCTGTTCGTTCATGCTCGATTACCTGAGATTAACGAAGCGTAACATGATTTTGAGGTATTGAAATAAGTCGTTCTGAAACAAAACTAGCTCATACTATTGCTAGGATTACTACACGAGTACCAGAATCATCTTATTTACTCATTTCAATACCTCTGAGCCATTTAATCCTCCGTTAAATCTCATAGGTAACCG